GGGCATGAAGGATTAGAGAAAAAAGAAACTAAGGGAATTAATAACTCAGATAAATCAACAACAAAGCGAAAAAAGTGTTTTAAGAAAGAAAATGAGGAAAACTTGTTAGAACTTGAAAAACTTAAAATGACCAGTTGAATTTTCAAACTTTCTTCCCACTCTTTTAATAATGTTTAAGATTAATACAATGATTTCCTATACTACTATCTGAGATGGTGGAAATATTAGGTATCTGCTCTATGCAAGGGAGCTACTAGGAGTAAGGGTTTAACTAACTTGCTAACTGGTGACAAAGATTCAAAGACAAACAATCTTAGTCCCAATGCTCCTGCTTTTCCACCAATGGTGAGTTTTTAATTATTAAAAGATCCAGAATAAATAACATTGTATTTTTCTTATCAGTTTCATGATTTTTTTATTTGGCTCTTACAACATCCTATATTATATTATAAACTAGAGGCCCAGTGCACAAAATTCATGTGCAAGTAGGGTCCTTAGCCCTGGACAGTGATAAGGCTGATCTGGGATTTCTGGCTGCCAGCTGGGGCCTTCCTTCTGGCTTCTGGCAGGGCCTTCCTTCATTCTGTACTGTCCCCTGGTGGGTCAGTGCATAGCATACTGAGTTTTTGAACTCCCAGTTGAACTTCTAAAAGGATCCTTGCACATTAGCCTTTTATATATATAGACTAGAGGCCTGGTGCATGAAATTTATGTATGAGGGTGTCCCTCTTCACAGCCTGCACCCTCTCCAATCTGGGACCCCTCGAGGGATGTCTGACTGCCCATTTAGGCCTGATCCCCAGTAGAGTTGGGCCTAAATGGGCAGTAAGACATCCCTCTCACAGTCTAAGAATGCTGGCTCCCAACTGCTTGCCTGCCTGCCTGCCTGATTAACCCCTAACCACTTCTGCCTGCCAGTCTGATCACTCCCTAACCACTCCCCTGCCAGCCTGATTGATGCCTAACTCTCTCCTGCCAGCTGATTGCCCATAACTGCCCTCCCCTGCATGTCTGGTCACCCCTAATTGCTCTCCCCTGCATGCCTTGTCCCCCACAACAGCTCTCCCCTGCAGGCCTGATTCTCCCCAACTGCCCTTCCCTTTAGGCCCGGTCATTCCCAACTTCCTTCCTCTGCCAACCTGATCACCCCTAACTGCCCTCCCTTACAGGCTTGATTGCCCCCAACTTCCCTCCCTTGCAGACCTGGTCCCTCCCAAATGCCCTCCCCTGCTTGCCATCTTGTGGCAGCCATCTGTGTACATATGGGGGCAGTCATGTTGTATTGGAGTGATGGTCAATTTGCATATTACTCTTTTATTAGATAGGACTAGAGGCCCGGTGCACGAATTTGTGCATGGGTGGGGTCCCTTCGCCTGGCTGGCAATTGGGGCCAATCAGGGCCATCTCACCCAGTCCTGATTTGGCCAATTGGGCCAGTGGCTGGGAGGGACTATGGGTTGGCTACAGGGTATGTTTGACCCTATCTCAACCAGTCCCATCCAGTGAGACTCTAGCAGCAAGCTAACCTACCAGTTGGAGCATCTGCCCCTTGGTGGTCAGTGCATGTCACAATGGCCAGTTGATCAACAGCTCGGTTGGACATTTAGCATGTTAGGCTTTTATATATATAGATCATAACTCATGATGTGGAATGCTTGACATTTCCCTTCAGCCCCTGTTCTTGGAGATCTCATGTCCATCCAAGGTTCTGCTCATCCTCTTCAGCTGCCAGATGAAGCAAATTGCATCATGTGTGTGGAAACCCTTTGCAGGCTCCATGGTGTGTCTTTACTTCGCTGCAGTTCCAATTATCCCAACATAAGGAGAGACATCCTCATTATCAGATAACACCATCATGGTAAAACCCCTGCTCAGCCTCCTGCAGCAGTTTTAAATAGGCCATAGATCACCCTAGATGGTTTGGATCAGTGGATAGAGACACAGCCTGCAGACTAAAGGGTACTGGGTTTGATTCCAGTCAAGGGCACATTCCTGGGTTATGGCTCAATCCCCAGTAGGGGGCATCTGGGAGGTGGCAGATTGATTCTCTCCCATCATTGGTGTTTCTATCTCTCTCTCCCTCTACCTTCCTCTCTAAAATCAATAAAAATATATTAACAAAAATATAGGCCATGAATCAAATGTCGTTGCTCTCCATCCACCCAGTTCCCTAACACCCTCTTTTGTCTCTCTCCCCTCCCCCGCCTCCACACACATACACACACACACACACACACACACACACACACACTCCACTGGGTCTGTAAAATGATGTCAGGATTTCTACTTCAACCAAGGGTGATGCTTCCACATGGCCCTCCTTCCCCACCCATCTCTGTCCCCATCTCTGTCCCCATTTAACTTGGTGGGCCCTTTTCTGTCTCCTCCTCCTGCAACATCCTTTCTGCAGACTCCCCCTTTCTCCTCTGGAGGCGGAGCTCCCCAAAGGCTATGCAGGGCAGGGCTGTGTGGGAAGGGGCTGTGTGAGGCTATGGGGAACTGTGCAGGGGTGACAGGGGGAGCAGTAGGGGAGGGCAAGCAGACAGGGCCTCTGCAGAGAGATAGGGTGGCAGGTCTTGGGGAGGAGGGAGGACTTGGAGCCTGTCTTGTCGGAGAGGCACCAGGCTCCTCAGCTGCCCCCACCTAGCAGCTTTTCTAGGCCCCTGCGCAACTGTCGCCCACCTGCCCTTACTACCTCCAGCTTCCTGTTAAGTTTGGACTAGGTTTCTCAGAATCAGCCCCGCCCCTTCCTCTCTGTTGAGTCCTTGGGAACCTGAGGCTGCCTCATGGCCTCGAGCAAGTGTACCTGGCCTGTCACCCCCATAATGGCGTTACCCACTCTCCTGGAGTAGTGAAACTTAATAAAAAGAAGCAGCTCTGAAGATTATAAATTGTGCACTGAGAATGTCACAGACTGGGGAGGGCTGTGAAGCCCACAGCTCTCAGATTGCATGTAGTAGCCTCCCACACCACCGTGTCCCTCCTGGTCCCTGCCCCTGCCTGCCTCCACCCAGGACTCATGTCAAACCTTGGGAGCTTTCTGAGGGCTTGCACCTCACACCTCACTTTCCAGTCCAGCCCACCAGTGCCCACAGCAAGCTAACCTACTGGTTCAGAATCTTCCCCCTTGGTGTTCACTCCCCTGCCAGCCTGATTGATGCCTAACTGCTCCCCTGCCAGCCTGATTACCCCTTACTTCTCTCCCCTGCAGGCATAATTGCTCCTAACTTCCCTCCCTTGCAGGCCTGGTCCCTCCCAACTACTGTCCCCTTCTGGCCATCTTCTGTCCACATGGGGGAAGCCATCTTTGACCATGTGAGGGCAGCCATCTTGTATGTTGGAGTGGTCAATTTGCAAATTACCTTTTTATTAGATAGAAAGAGGCCTGGTGCACGCTTGGGGGCCGGCTGGTTTGCCCTGAAGGGTGTCCCAGATCAGGGCTGGGGTTCCCTTGGGGCATGGGGCGGCCCGGGCAAGGGGCCTGTGCTGGTTTGCAGGCCGGCTACGCCGCCTGGCAACCCAAACAGAGGCCCTGGTATCTGGGATTTATCTTCAATAATTGAAACTTTGTAGCCTTGAGCAGAGGCCTGGGCAGGCCAGGATGGGCAGGAAGCTTGGCTTCCTCCATCACCAGGGGCAACCCAAGCCTCCTTCTTGCACCAGCTCTGTAGCTACTGCCATATTTGTTGGGTTGATTTGCACACTTGTTCCTGATTGGCTGGGAGGCGTGGCATGTGGGCATAGTGGAGGTATAGTCAATTTACATGTTTCTCTTTTATTAGGACAAATGAAGACTTTTCTTTTAAAAAAATATATATTTTGATTTTTTTTTTTCTTTTACAGAAAGGGAGTGAGAGTTAGCAACATCTGATGAGAAACATTGATTTGCTGCCTCCTACAAACTCCCCACTGATGATCTGCCCGCAACCAAGGCACATGCCCTTAACAGGAATCGCACCTGGGACCTTTCAGTCTGCAGGCTGATGCTCTATCCACTGAGTCAAACTGGTTAGACAAGACCTTTGAAGTATTTCAGATGTTCCCATTGATCCCCTCCATCTCCAACTAACACTCTCCAGGTCTTCACCACACTATTGTCTGTGTCCATGGCTTATGCATATATGCATATCAATTCTTTGGTTAATCTCTCCTCACCCACCCACCCATCCCTGCCTTACCCCTGAGATTTCTCAGTTTGTTCTATGCTTCTATCTCTGGGTCTATTTTGTTTATCTGTTGTCCTAAAATTTCAACATTCTCTGATAATCGTCATAATCAGGAAAAAGAAATGTTATCAATTTTTCATCTTTGAAGAGTATCAAATTCCAGAGAATGATGAGCAAGGCAGTACTTCAGAAAAAACATGACATATGGCTACTTACTCTAATAACTTTTTAAAATATATTTTATTGATTTTTTACAGAGAGGGAGAGAGATAGAGAGCTAGAAACGTCGATGAGAGAGAAACATTGACCAGCTGCTTCTTGCGGGATGTGCCCGCAACCAATGTACATGCCCTTGATCGGAATCAAACCCGGGACCTTTCTGTCCACAGACCGACGCTCTACCACTGAGCCAAACCGGTTTTGGCTATTCTAAGAATTTAAAGTTCCTGACAGCCCTTACTTTAAGTTATATACAGAGTTTTTCTCTACCAACTTACCTCTGGCTTTGTATTTATAGGTGCTTAACACAAGGATGACTAGAATTCATAGCAGTTATGAAAATGCTGGAATAAATGTTTTGTTTCATTTATTGCCAACCAATAATTGAGGGCTGTAATAAAATATTGGTGACATTAGCAATGTCCATGAAATATAGCACACTGTATACAAGAAACCTAGGGCTCTCATCAGTCTATGCACATGCTTTTGTCTTACATGATTTGCATCTGTTAACGCAATAAACTTGTCTTTATCCTGAGCTCTCAGAAGTAATCAAACGGGGCTCAATCTGTTTTTTATTCAAATGATGTTTGTTACCCGAGTTTCAAGACTTGGTCAAATGGTGTTTGGCCAACTTCCATTAAATCCCACTCCGCCACTAGGGGGAGACGCAGGCGGGCGGCGGCGGCGCCCAGAGACTCGCAGCGGGCCCGGCTCCAGTGGCGCCCCTGGGCCTCCATCTTGGCCTTCGGGGTGGGAACGGGGTCTGGGTCTCCTTGGGCCCCACGCAGACGCCGGGAGTAGGCTGTCCCTTGCCGAATGGCGGGCCGCAGCGGGGTCTGCAGGGGACACGTCGCCCAGCCCCACAGACCGGTTCCGAGTGGGCCCGACAAGATGGAGGACGCCATCTCCTCCCGCAGCCATGACGGGCGGCGGCGGCGCCCCTCACGGGATGAGGCGCGGGTGGACGTGCGTCCGCCCCAGGCCGCTCGGGACGCCGCCGCCCGCCGCCCGCCGCCCGGCGCTACCCCTGCCCGTTGTCCCGCACGGGCCTCCAGCCTCCGGGACTTGGGCAGGAGGGCGTGAGGGACATGAGGCCGCGTCCCTTCCCGGGCAAAATGCTGGGGACCGCCGCGGCGGGCTGGGCGAAGGCCGAGCGAGGGCAAAAACGATCCGGCCTCGGGGTCTCGGACTCTCCGGACACAACAACTTCCCGCCCAGAGTGCAGGGGTCCATTTTTTGGCCGCGAGGCGGCAAAACAAGGTCGGGTGACGAGCTCTACCTAAGCGGTGTGGGCGGGGGAGGAAGGGAGGAAATGGCCCGGCCGGCAGGCGGGGCAGCGAAGGCAGAGGGTGGGACCGGTGCGTGACGGACAGCCTCACGGGCCATCCCTCACAGGGATTCCTGAAGGACGGCACATGTAGCCAATGGGCGCGGCCCCGTCCGGACGGCCCCTGCAGCCATTGGGAGCGTGGGAGGCGGGGCCTGCTGGCTGGGCCGCGCCGCCGCCGCCTCCCCCTCCCAGCCCAAACCCCGCGCTGTGCGGGTGGGTCGGCGAGAGGAGCTTCGATCCGTGGAGCCGCAGCCAGAACCGGTGAGGCTCGGCTCCGCGGGCTTTGCATTCCTGGCCCGCCGAAGCCTCCAGAGGCTGAGCCGGGCGAGGGCGGCCTCCAGAGCCTCTCAGCGGCCGGTGACTAACCCCTGCGGCGCGGCTGCCGTGGCCACCGCGAGACTCGCCGGTTCCCCTGCGGCCTGAGGCCGGGTGGGCCGGGTGAGGACGCTGGGCGGGGACGCCGCGGGCATTTTCCTTTCCCTGGGGGAGCGGTAGGGGAGGGGCGCCCGGTCCTCCCTCTCTCCCTCGGCTGCGCCAGAGCCTGGGGTCCCCAGTTTTGTGGGCGAGGTTCCGCGTCCGCTCCAGGGCCTGCGCCCCCCTTCTGGTCTTAATGGGGCGCATTCTCGTGGCGGACGGGTCGCAAGTCTCGGACCCAGGGCCAGCGTTCGGGCCCAGCGGGGAGAGTTGAGCTGGGTGGCGACGACGTCTGCAGCTCCTACCTCGGCGCCCAGAGGGATGCGGTGGGTCCATTGGGGAGGTAATGCCTTTATGCCGTTTCCCTTGCTGGCGTCAAAGCAACGTTCGCCCCGTTCCCATCCTCGGTGCTGCCGGTGCCTCCGCCCCCATTCTGGACTTTGAGGGAACAGACACAGCCCTGTCTGGTGGTGCGATACCAGGTTTTAAATTATGGTTTCCCTGCTTCATTGGGGGATGGGGAGGGCAAAAGAGCCCTGAACGCCTTTATTCTGTGTCCCTCTGCAGGGTAGGAATTGTACAGCGTCCAGGTTGGCTGTAACTAAACCGTTTTTCATCTTTTCTCATTCTAGGACCAGGAATTACTTTCTGGCCAATCTGGTGACGCTTTGGCAGAAATTAAGAAGGAAAATACCTCCCTTAAGAGTAATTTAACCCTGCTTTTCTGTTTCATACATTGAGTGCAATAGTACAATGTTGTTCTGTGTGATTTATCTTTCTGTTATCTTGAAGGCAAAAAGCTAATTGCTTGGATGGAACCTGTCACCAGAGCCCTGCCAGGCAAACACCTGGGAAAGTGCTGGGAATGGGTGCTGTTAATACTTAATACCACTGATATTTTCTGAAGTTCCAAAATAGGTCTTAAAGGTAGTTCTATTTTACAAGCTTTGCATTTAATATTTTTTCTTTCCAATGAATACAATTTTTTTTTGTTTACTGTTGGATTATCAAAAATCTGACTCTCCTGTTTTGTTTTAAAGTTCATATAAAGAGGGTTTTTGTTTGTTTGTTTGTTTGATTGTTTTTGTATGTGTCTGTATTATCTTTGTGGAAAATATACTTTTATGTACCCTTCTGGTCCCCAATCTGCATCTCATCAGGAGGTAGTCTAGTTGTCATAATACATAGTTCCGAGATCAACCACTGAATTTATAGTGACCTGTGACCACCAGATCCTTCCATTATGAAGTGAATATTTTTTTCCTTGTTATCAAAAAGTAATCTACTTGGTGTTCACTTTTTAAAAATATACTTTTATTGATTTCAGAGAGGAAAGGAGAGGGGGAGTGGGAAGGGAAGGGAATGGAATGGCACAAGTGTACTCCCAGGAGGTAAAATACCTTTTTGCAACTTTTAAAAAGCACATTTAAAAAACTATGACACCAAAATGTACATTTAAAAAATGATTAAAATGGCAAGTTTTATATATACACCAGAGACCTGGTGCACAGAATTGTGCACTGGTGGGGAGCATGGCTTAGGATCAGCCCACTGTGGGAACGCTGCTCATCCTGGTCAGCTGAGCACATTGACCACTGGGGGCAGCTCCTGTGTTGAGTGTCTGCCCCATGGTGGTCTATGCACATCATAGTGATTGGTCACCTGATCGTTTTGGTGGTTCTGCTGTTCTATCGCTAGGTTTTTATTATATAGGACTTATATATAATTGTTATGTACCTATTTTTAGAAATAATGCTGTTGCTTACTTAATAGATTAGAGTGAAAGCATAACTTATTTGCGCTGGGAAAGGAAAACGTGTATCACTCTTTATTGTGATCTTTGCTTTATTGCAGTGGTGTGGAACTGAACCCGCAGTATCAATATCTCCAAGGCATGCATATAAAAACATATGAGCCCTAACCGGTTCGGCTCAGTAGATAGAGCATCAGCCTGCAGACTCAAGAGTCCCAGGTTCGATACGGTCAAGAGCATGTACCTTGGTTGCAGGCACATCCCCAGTATGAGGTGTGCAGGAGGCAGCTAATCATTGTTTCTCTCTCATCAATGTTTTTAATTCTCTCTTTTTAAAATAAATCTTTATTGTTCAGATTATTACAATTGTTCCTCTTCTCCCCCCCCCCATAACTCCCCTCCATCCAATTCCCACCCCACCCCACTGTCCTCATCCATAGGTGTACAATTTTTGTCCAGTCTCTCCCCACACCCCTTAAGTCCTTTTCCCCTGAGAATTATCAGTCTATTCCCTTTCTATGCCCGATTTTATTATATTCACCCATTTATTCTGTTTCTCAGATTTTTTAATTCACTTTATTTTTAGATTCATTTTTTTTCTTTTATCATATTTTATTGTATTTTTATAGAGAGGAAGAAAGAAGGATAGAAAGCTAGAAACATCGATGAGAAAGAAACATTGATCAGCTGCCTGTTGCATATCCCCTACCAGGGATGTGCCCGCAACCAATGTACATGCCATTGACCGGAATCGAACCTGGGACCCTTCAGTCGGCAGGCCGACACTATCCACTGAGCCAAACCGGTTTTGGCTAGATCACTTTTTTTAAAAATATATATATTTTATTGATTTTTTTACAGAGAGTAAGGGAGAAGAATAGAGAGCTAAAAACATTGATGAGAGAGAAACATCGACTAGCTGCCTCCTGCACACCCCCTCCCAGGGATGTGCCTGCAACCAATGTGCATGCCCTTGACCAGAATCGAAACTGGGACCCTTCAGTCGGCAGGCCGATGCTCTATCCATTGAGCCAAATTGGTTTTGGCCACAATGGCTTTTAGTAGTGATTAACTTTTTTATAATCTCGGATTTTGAAAATAGGTGAATATTGCTCTAACCGGTTTGGCTCAGTGGGTAGAGCATCAGCCTGCGGACTCAAGGGTCCCATGTTCGATTCCAGTCAAGATCATGTATGTTGGTTGCAGGCACATTCCCAGTAGCGGGTGTGTGGGAGGCAGCTGATCGATGTTTCTCTCTCATCAATGTTTCTAATTCTCACTCTCCCTTCTTCTGTGTAAAAAATCAATAAAATATATTTTTTAAAAAGAAAGAAAGAAAATAGGTGAATAATTAATCTTTTTTCTTTTTTTGAAATATATTTTTATTGATTTCACAGAGCAATGGAGAAGGGAGAGAGATAGAAACATCAATGATGAAAGAGAATTATTGATCGGCTGCCTTCTGCACTTCCCCTACTGGGAATAGAGCTGGCAACCCCGGGCATATGCCCTTGACCAGAATCAAACCTTGTTCTCTTCAGTCCACAGGTTGATGCTCTATCCAGTTAGCCAAACCAGCTAGGGCTTAGACTTTTTTCAGAGGTAGGTGACTGCAGTGAGCTGAACCAAAGAAAGAATGCCCTTTATATTTTCTTTGAGAAGATTGAGGTAGGTTCTAGGACATAGCAGCCACAAGAGTCTGCTATGTACTTGACTATAGCTTTTTTCCAGAAATTGTTCTATTTTGTTTTATATTTATTCAAATGAAGGAAGGTACTGAGAGATTTTATATATAGCGGTTTTTATATTTGAGGCTAAATTATTGCCTCTTGCCTTTGAAAATCAACCATATACTAAGTTTACTGAAGGAGTGTTGACCATGATCCCAATTTTTGTGTTTATTTTGTAACCCTTATATACTGGTCTTTTAGATTCATTATTTCTGCATCTTTGATATAGACTTATTTGAATGTTGATTTTTTGAAAATGAACTAATTAATTGTAATAAAAGAAGTGATTTTAAAAATTATTTTATATATTAATTGCATATAACGTAATGGTTGTAAGATAGATCCTGGAGTCAGATTTCTTGGATTTGAATCCTGACTATGTCCTTCCCAGCATTAGAGATTGGACAGGCCATGCAGATACCTTATTTTCTGAGTCTTAAGTTTCCTAATGGGCAAAGTGGGGGGAAAAAATAGTTCCTACCTCATGTAAACATTAACTAAATATTTTATTGACATAGCACCTATTATATGATTATAACTATTATCAATTAAATTACTTGGGAAAATTTAGAATAGAAATGTTACTTAGCATATTTCAATATGAGATATTTAAAATGGAGTAAAGTGAGTTTTTTAAAACATTCAACACCCATACAGTTCCCACCTCCTTCACTCTCGAGTTTCTAGCTAAGAAAATTGAGGCCAGCATGGATAAACTTACCTTAGTTTTCCACCTATCATTTCTACACTAATATACATTCCAGTTATGTCTACTTTTTTTTCTCTCTGGCCTTTGAAATACAGGTGATTTCTATTCAAGATCAATTTCACTCCCACTTGTGCACATATCCACATCTCACTTGCAAGAGCCTCACTTTATTGATTATTCACTTCTCCAGATTATTTTTTAATCCTCACCTGATAAGTGAGGGTATTTTTTTCTTTTTTAAAAGTGGGTATTTTTCCCATTGACTTTGGAGCGAGTAGAAGGGTGGGGAGAGGAGGAGAAAAAGAAAACCATCGAGATGAGAGACACATTGGTGGTTTGCTCCTTACTGGTGCCCAGGCGGGAACCGAGATCGAGACATTTTGGTCCTCTGGTCCACTGAGAAAAACCAGCTAAGGCCAGATTCTTTCCTTTGTCATACCCAAGTGTGTAGTAGGTACAAAGAAGTGTTTGTTGAATATAACAGAGTGGTTAAGAATTTGGCGTCTGGAATTAAAAACCTGAATTTAAGTCCTATTTGAGTTTATCCAGAACAATATAGTTAGCTTCTCTTTCCTGATCTGTAAAATTGATTAAGTTATGCCTATGTCGTGGCATTTATAGAATTTTACATAGAAAACACAGCATGATGTTTGAAGATTGCACAAAAGGGCAAAGGTGACTCAAAAATTTCATCATATAGTTAGTTATATTGGAAGAGAATTTGAAAAATGACAAAAGACTAGGAAAATAGGGATTGGACAATGACAGTCATTTTAATAGGTAGTATATGTAGTATGTTGATTATATTTGGAGTGTAGATTATTAGTACTTAATAAATTATTTTATTAGTTTCCTGTGTGTGTTTTTTTAATTTATTGATTTCAGACAGGAATGGAGAGAGAGAAACATTAGTGATGAGAGAGAATCATTGATCAACTGCCTTCTGCATGCTCTATACTGGGGATCAAGCCTGTAACCCAGGCATGTGCCCTGAACAGGAATTGCATGGTGACCTCATGGTTTGTAGGGTGATGTTCAGCCATTGAGTCTCACTGGACAGGTGTTACTGTTTTTTATTTCAAAGGAAGACAGTTATTTTTTTCTCCTATAAAGGGTGACTAGGTAATTGAGTACAGTAGGTCCTCAAAAGCTGTTTCATTATAACATTGATGAGATACTGTAGGAACCAGCTATTGTTTATATCTTATGGTTATATCAATTAGACTATGATAAAATTGGTTTCCTTAAATGTTTTGCTTAAGGTAACAGAACCTATTGATGATGCTAAATAAAGATTACTGTTAGTTGAGTAGATGTTCTAAGATTTGATTTTGGTGTTGGTCATACAAAACAGTTTACAGATCTTGCAGCATAGAGCCTCACACCTGAAACATGTATGATCATGTTAACCAATGTCACCCCAACAAATTTAATTAAAAATAAACATTTTTTAGGGACTCCCAAAAATTGTATAAATTTTATCGAACTCTGAAGAAGTAAGCTTTAATGGAAGAGGATAAACAGAATAGTTGAACAATTTTTTCCTTAAATGCTAGATAAAAATCACATAAAGAATAGAATTTAAAATTTCATTTGTGCTAGTTCTTTTAATAATCATAATTTTCTTTCTTTTTCTGTCTCTTGCAGGTTTTTTTTGTCATGGACATAGGTTCAGTGGGAGGATTAGACTTGACTGAACAAACTTCTGTGTTACTAGGGAGTAAAGCCATGGCAACTAGTCTCACAGACGTAGGAAATTCATTTGGTCATCCAACTAGTACTTCAGTTAATAGATCTAGAAACTCATCAGTGGAAGATGATGATGATGATGTTGTGTTTATTGAAACTATACAACCTCCTTCAACTTCTTCAGCAATAGTTGATCCAAGAGATTTTATATTTGCTTCAAGAAATGGAAAGCTACAAGGAAATGATTCCCTAATTCCTTCCTCAAGAGATTTGGCTTCTCAAAAGGGATATATAAGTGAGACTATTATTATTGATGATGAAGAGGACATAGAAACAAATGGAGAAAAAAAGAAAAATTCTTTCAGTTTTATTGAATGGGGACTTCGAGGAACTAAAAACAGAACCAAAGATGTGGACTTCTCTACTTCCAGTCTTTCAAGAAGAAAGGTAAATGTAGGAATGGGTAATAGTGTTATCACTACAGAATCGACTTTGAAATAAAGATTGCTAGTGTTACAACCTTAGAAACAGGTATAAGCTCTCTGAATGATGAGCAAGATATGAACTTAATGATTACACTTATAGCATCACTATAGAATACCAACTTGGGAGATGTCGCTAAAGGACTTCAGCCAAGTAATTTTGGTGTTAATATACAAACATACACCCCATCTTTAACTTCACAGACCAAGACTGCAGTAGGACCTTTTAATCCTGGTAGGATGAATGTGGCAGGAGATGAATTTCAGAAAGGAGGATTTGCAACTCATCATAGTTCTGGTAAGCCATGAGTGATCTACCCCAAGTAAAAAAACTGTGGGCTGTTATTTTTACAATCCATTTCATTTATGTTCTATTAGTTAAATATTTTCTTTCTTTTGACTTTCAGGTTAAGATAGCATATTTTACTTAACAAAAACTGTGCAGTCTACTTGGCCTGTGAATTTTCATAAATTTAATCTATTTTACCTATTGTAGTTTACATCTAAAGTGGTTTAATTGAAAACCTCCATAATTATTACCATTGATCTATTTACTAGTGTTTATTTTAATGTAAAAAATCATAGAATAAAAAGGTGTGTAAGTCAGCTTGACTTAGTGGATAGAGTGTCAGCCTGCAGACTGAAAGGTCTTGGGTTTGATTCTGGTCACGGACATGTACCTAGATTGCAAGCTCTATCCCTGGCCTGTGTGTAGGAGGCAACCAAATGATGTGTCCCTCTCACATTGATGTTTCTCTCTCTCGCTTCCTCCCTCGCCCTCTCTTCCACTTTCTCTAAAAATCAATGGGAAAATATCCTTAAGTGAAGATTAACAACAAAAAGATGTGTTGAACTGAAGGAGAATATAATGTAATATTATGTAGTAATTGAATTTTGTGTGTTATAATTAAGTAACCTGAAACTTCAATTTTTGTGTAACTGGTATTTATTTTGGTGCTTGTCTCTGATTTTCATTTTTAAATCATCATTTTATTGCTTAATCTTAAAAGTTTCTTGCTTTAATTAAGAGACCTATACTTTTAAGTCTTGTTCTGAAAAAATTAAGATATAATAATAGTTATTTAAAACTTAGCAAATCTTGCCAAAACCGGTTTGGCTCAATAGATAGAGCGTCGGCTTGGGGACTGAAAGGTCCAGGGTTTGATTCCGGTCAAGGGCATGTACCTTGGTTGCAGGCATATCCCCAGTAGGGGGTGTGCAAGAGGCAGCTGATCGATGACTCTCTCTCATCGATGTTTCTAACTCTCTCTCTCTTCCTCTCTGTACAAAATCAATAAAATATATATTTAAAAATAAATAAATAAATAAATAAATAAAAATAAAACTTAGCAAATCTTTTTTGTGGCTTTTTCATGAATTGGAGTTTTTCTTTTTCAAATGTATTTTTATTGATGTCACAGAGGAAGGGAGAGGGAGACAAACACCAATAATGAGAGAGAATCATCTATCGGCTGCCTCCTGCACTAGGAATTGAGCCCGCAATCTGGGCATGTGAACTGACCAGGAATCAAATCATAGCCTCCTTGTTACTAGGTTGAAGCTCGCTCACTGATATTTGAGTGTTGAATTTGTTATATGCTACATTGCCGAATTCATTTATTAAATTTAGTAGTTTTTTGGTGGAGTCTTTATGGTTTTCTCTGTACAATATCATGTCATCTGCAAATAATAATAATTTTACTTTCCAATGTAGATGCCTTTTACTTCTTCTTGTCAGATCACTTTGACTGGGATTTCAAGCACTGTCTTGTAAAGGAGTTGTGAAAATGGGCATCCTTGTCTTATTTCTGTTCTTAGGGAAAATAGTTTTCGTTTTTGGCCATTGAGTATCATGTTTGCTATAGGTTTGTCATATATGGATTTTATCATGTTGAGATATGCTCCCTCTATTACTACTTTGCTGAGATATTTTATTTTAAAAAGGGTGCTTGATTTTGTCAAAAGCTTTTTCTGTGTCTATTGATATGATCATGTGATTTTTGTCTTTCAGTTTGTTTATGTGATGTGAATAATTTGTGAATATTGTACCAGCATTGCAGAACTGGAAGAAATCCCACTTGGTCATGGTGTATTGCTGGATCTGATTTGCTAATATTTTGTTGAGGATTTTAGCATCTAGGTTTACTAGGGATATTGGTCTGTAAATCTCTTTCTTTGTAGTGTCTTTATCTGGTTTTGGAATTAGGAAAATGCTGGCCTCATAAAAAGAGCTTAGAAGTTTTCCTTCCTCATGGATTTTTTGGAATAGTTTGAGGAGGATAGGTTTTAGTTCCATTTGAAGGCTTGGTAAAACTCCCTGTGTGAAGCCATCCAGACCAGAACTTTTGTTTGCTGGAAGTTTTTAAAACTACTAGATGCCTGGTGCGTGAATTCTTGCACCAGTGGAGTCCCTCGGCCTTATCTGCAGGATTGGGCCAAAACCGGCTCTCCAACATCCCCTGAGGGGTCATGGATTGTGAGAGGACACAGGCCAGGCCGCGGGACCCCACCAGTGCAGTCAGGGCCGGGAGGGATGCAGGAGGTTGGCTAGCCAGGGAGGAACATTATAATATATATATCTGTGTTTTCCAACAGTCTTAGGCTCTACAGCAGTAGTTCTCATCCTGACCCACAGGATGAAAACCGCTAGCAGGGATGCCTAAGACCACCGGAAAACACAGATATTTACATTATGATTCATAACAGTAGCAAAATTACAGTTATGAAGTAGCAACAAAAATAATTTTGTGGTTGGGGTCACCACAACATGAGGAACTGTATTAAAGGGTTGTAGCATTAGAAAGGATGAGAATCACTGACCTGGGTAGTTTCCCCAAGTCCTTGTAGCTGTTTCTGAATTTCTAAGTTCCCTACTTCCTCCAAATTTCCCTTTGACCAAATTAAGGGAGGGGACCTGCCATATAGAATTTCAGATGGAGAGAACCATACCCTGGCCCCTGTAGGACAGATTACCTGCAGGAGCACCTATTATGGTTGAGGTCGGATAGGTAACATATCTGTCCAGGGTAATTTCATCTCCTTGCCTAGCTTAGCTATAGCCTGCTTGAGAGTACGGTCATGCGTTCTACTGTCCTTGAACTCTGGGGCCTGTAAGCTGCACATAAGTTCCACTTAATTCCTAAGCCTTAGCTACCTACTGTACTACTTCAGCTACAAAGGCTGGGCCATTATCTGACCCTGTGTCAATGGCATTCCATACCACGGAATTCTGTTTTTTCAGTAATGCCTCGGTGACTTCTCTCACTTTATCTGTGTGGGTAGGATATGCCTCAGCTATCCTTTAAGTCCACAGATGGGTTACTGGTTAATTGCCCATCTCTCTAGGAACAGTTTTGCACCCTCACAAGCCTGGGGACCAGGTTTGGGTAAAAGATTGAAAAAACAACCTCGTAAGCCAACCTGGAAGGGACCTTATCCAGCCTGAAAAGGTGCCCTAATTCTGTAAAGTCTACCTCTTGATCTTCAAAAAAGAGCCTGCCCACAGTGCTAAATTCCTATAGGTACTACAGGACCCTGCCTTGCATTGTTCTGTACACAGAGGTGGCAGCTCCGAGAGATTGAGGCACACAAGGAGGGGAGACGGGCTTAAAAAGGCTCTTAGAGTCGTCTTCCCTGAATGGGTAAGTTCATGCTGCTGGAGGACTACTCTATGAGCTAACCGTTCTGGAACATAGACCTTATGATCTGGAAGTATCCACCAATCTTCCTTTGTCCTCTTATCTCCTCTTTGGGCGCATTCTTATTCATCTTCTTTTTAAAAAAAAATTTAATAAATTTTTATTGTTCATATTATTACAGTTGTTTCTCCTTTTCCCCCCCACAGCTCCCCGCCACCTGGTTCCCACCCCACCCTCTGCCTTTATCTCCCCCCCACTGTCCTCATCCATAGGTGTACAATTTTAATCCAGTCTCTTCCTGTACCCCCGACACGCCTTTCCTCCTGATAATTATCAATCTCCCTTTCTTTGCCCCTGATTCTGTTATATTCACCAGTTTATTCTGTTCCTCAGATTTTTAATTCACTCAATTTTTAGATTCACTTGTTGATATCTATTTGTTGTTGATAATTTTTATCTTTTTTTTTTTTCTTCTTCTTCCTCTTCTTAAAGAATACCTTTCAGCATTTCATATAATACTGGTTTGGTGGTCTCGCTAAATTTATCAGCCGTTTCTAGGAAATTTTTGAAAAACCTTATAATCGTGGTTTTGAACTCTATATCCAGTCGTTTGTTCTCCTCCATTTCTTTATTATCCATAAATGAGTGAGATCATGTGGTATTTCTCTTTCATTGACTGGCTTATTTCATTCAGCATGATGTTCTCCAATTCTATCCAGGTTACTGCAAATGATGAGAATTCCTTCTTTTTATGGCAGCATAGTATTCCATTGTGTAGATGTACCATAGTGTTTTGATTCAATCATCTGCTGACAGGCACCTAGGCTGTTTCCAAATCCTAGCTATAGTAGATTGTGCTGTTATGAACATAAGAGTGCATATATCCTTTCAGATTGGTGTTTCTAGTTTCTTGGGATATATTCCTAGGAGTGGGATTCCTGGGTCAAATGGGAGTTCCATTTTCAGTTTTTTGAGGAAACTCCATACTGTTCTCCACAGTGGTTGCACCAGTCTACATTCCCACCAGCAGTGCACGAGAGTTCCTTTTTCTCCGCAACCTCGCCAACACTTGTCGTTTGTTGATTTGTTGATGTTGGCCATTCTGACAGGTGTAAGATGGTACCGCATTGTTGTTTTAATTTGCATCTCTCGGATAATCAGTGATTTTGAGCATGTTTTCATGTGCCTCTTGGCCCTCCTTCTGTCTTCTTTTGCAAATATTCTATTTAGGTCCATTGCCCATTTTTTAATTGGATCGTTCATCTTCCTTTTATTTAGTTGTATAAGCTGTCTGTAGATGTTGGAGATTAAACCTTTATCAGTGATAACATTTGCAAATATGTTCTCCCATACAGTGGGCTTTCTTGTTTTGTTGATGGTTTCTTTTGCTGTGAAAAAGCTTTTATTTTGATGTAGTCCCATTTGTTTATTTTCTCTTTAGCTTCCATTGCCCTAGGGGCAGTATGAGTGAAGAAGTTCTTTTGGCATACGTCTGAGATTTTGCTGCCTGTGGATGCCTCCAGTATTTTTATGGTTTCCCATCTGATGTTTAAGTCCTGTATCCATTTTGAGTTTATTTTTGTGTATGGTGTAAGTTGGTGATCTATTAATAGTTTAATTCTTTTGCATGTATTTATTGAAGAGACTGTCTTGACTCCAT